ATTCACTGACGAAACTAAGTATAATATTTATAATGTTATAATTTTATAACTTTGTAATTTTAAAATTTTATAATATTATAACTTTAGAATTTTACAATTTTATAATATTGTAACTTTATAATTTTATAATTTTATAATATTGTAACTTTATAATTTTATAATTTTATAATATTATAACTTTATAACTTTATAATTTTATAATTTTATAACTTTATAACTTTATAATTTTATAATATTGTGGCGGCCAAGGCACCACATACGCCTTAGTCGTTCGAAGCCGCTACAATGTATGGTTGCACACGAGACGACCAGAGCCGCGCGAGCCGAAAAGCTCCAAATCAATCAAATCAATCAAAGCTACTTTAATGTTTCTATTTTGCCCGGCGCACATGTCACTGTAAGCTATAATGTGTCTTTCGCTTCTTAAATTTTTAACATGTTTTAGGATGCATGAAACAATTTCTTGAGCACCTCTGGATGCAATAGTTTCATCCCAAACGTGCATGTAAACATTAAATATCTCGATTTAAGTATAAATGGAGTTAGGCCACATTCAAACTACACGGTTCAATTATTGAACTAACTCTGAAAACTTATGTGTCAAGAATTATCGTATTTGCTCGGAATGTAAGCAACCTGAAATGCTTTACTGATAAATAACACGAAATTGTACATGTAATCATGGTAACCGGAAAAAATTGAAAAATGGAGTTAGGCCACTTTCAAAATAAACGGCTCATATAGAAATTAAGAAGCATTTATTATACAAACGTACTGCATGAGGGTCACGAAAGTGTTTTAAATTTTGAATTTATTGAAGTAAACATTGTTTTGCTTAAAAATATGTAAACATTTGTAAGTTGATTCCGTCTCTAGGCATCGTATGGTAAATTCTATGTCGTTAGTTGTCGATTATCGTGTGTTCGGTGACAATGAATTCAAAGAGAACAGAAACGCAAATATGCGAAAGGGAAATTATAGTTTTTTATATTTGACCCATCACCGTATTGGTGCTCTCGAACAGAATATTTTCTAATCCTGACATTTTTTCTATCATACAAAATAATAATTTAAAGTGATCAAGTTAGGTAAAATACCTTGTATAGTTAAAAAATGTAATAATTTAATTCTACTCTGACGTAAGATAAATGCAACAAAATTCCGCAAGAATTCGTTAGGTATTTACGTTTAAAAAGTTTTAATTAAAATATGAGAACTATTTGAATATTGAAAATACGAGGTTTGAGAAACACTGCCGTGAGCTGTATTAATTACACGACAAGAGAAGAATAATTTCCGGGGAAAGAAAATGTCAGACGTACAGTGGCTCGCAAAAGTGTTCGAACGCATGCAAGAAATAAATGAAACGAAAGAGATATTTATGTTAGAGTTCAGTTTCGAAGATAGCATCTTAATAGCTATTAGACACAAGTATCAGGATAATATGTGCAAAATTTCAACTCGATCCAACAGTGTATATTGAAATTAAGAAGCATTTATTATAGAAACGTATTGCACGAGGGTCACGAAAGTGTTTGAACGCGAGGAATTCATTGAAGTAAACATTGTTTTGCTTAAAAATATGTAAACATTTGTAAGTTGATTCCGTCTCTAGGCATCGTATGGTAAATTCTATGTCGTTAGTTGTCGATTATCGTGTGTTCGGTGACAATGAATTCAAAGAGAACAGAAACGCAAATATGCGAAAGGGAAATTATAGCGAGGATGCACAAAGATGGAAAATCGTATCGAGAAATAGCTAAGTGTGTAGGTAGAAGTGTGTCCACTTATTATAAAAAAGTTAAAAATTGAAGGTGCAGTGATAAACAAACAGCGTGCAGGCCGACCGAGCAAGTTAAGTGCAAGGGAACAGAAGATTGTTGTTCGCGAAATTAAAAAAGATCCGACTATTTCGGCAACAGGACTTGCTCAAATGGTTAGCGAGGATTTTGGAAAAATTGTTCACCCCGAATTATGCCGCGGAATACTACGGAAAAATAATTTTAATGGTAGAGCACCAAGGAAGAAGCCATTCATCGGTAAAGCGAATAAAGCTAAACGATTAAAGTTTGTAAAAGAATACGAAAGTAAAGATTGTAACTTTTGGAACGGAGTTATTTTCTCCGACGAAAGTAAATTTAACATATTTGGGTCGGATGGACAGCGATATGTGTGGAGAAAACCGAATACGGAAATGAATATGAGAAATTTACGCCCAACTGTGAAACACGGAGGAGGTTCGGTTATGATGAAAAATGGAGTTAGGCCACTTTCAAAATAAACGGCTCATATATAGTACAGTTTTCGTCAATTTTGCTATTGGTTCGTCGTTAACTGTCGCAGAGATTGAAGCAAATTGGGAGAAGTGGGAATGTGGAATGCCTATTGCATTTTTTCATCGAGAGAATACGTAGAAACATAGAGTTTTAATGGATGTTTAGGGAATGTTAGGGAAACTCATAAAAAATATGATATATAATACTTTGAATAAAAACATTAAAATTTACGAATATACTTCAGTTTTCGTCAAAATTGCAATTTAAATCTCAAATTGTAACAAAATTTAACGCATGACGGATATAGTCGTCATGATACAAAATTCAGCCCACATCTCCATGACGGATATCAGTCGTCGAAGACACTTAACTGGTTAAAAGGACGCAAGGGAACGTAATCTCGGTAAAATAGGAAAATATCGCGAGTAACAGCGTCACGAAGCAAGTTTCTCCGCGAGCAGCGAGACAATGCATCATCGATTTCTCGCGGCCAAGCACGAACGTTGGTCGAAGGCTGCATTTATTTGGGTCGCGGACACCAGCGAATTATCTCCTCGATCCTTCCGCTCTTACCACGTCTCTGACCCCCATTTCTGTCTCGCTATCAGTCTTTATTACGTATGTATTTATAGTCGCCTCGCGATTAGTTGTACATTTTTTTTTCCACCGTTTCTGTCTGTCCGGATAAATCAACCGAATATTCTTACGACTTCTTTATTGGACCCGATTGCACCAGCGCTAAAGATGCAACAAAATTAACGATAATTTAACTATTGCATAACGCAATCGATTTGTTGCAAATGAAATGAATGTTACTCAACTGATTTTTTAAACTTATTATACATTACTATATTATACAGTAATATACTATTATAAGTGTAACCCTAAGGGGAAGCATTAAAATGAATACATACATACAGTAATATACTATTATAATTAAATTAAATAAATAACTTAAAAAAAAAAATAACTAAATTAGAATTATATAGTAATATACTTATTATATTTTACTAGTCGAAATAACCTTCAATAAGGTAAGCAAAAAGTTTTACAGTTTTTTGGGGTTTTCTCTGATTTCTGTATTATTTGTTACCATTTTTAATAATACCTTTAATTACGTCTTAGAGAGAATTAAATTTAACATTGAAAAGTTGAATAAACATCCTGCCTAATAAAGCACCAATTAAATGTACTTTTTATTTATAGTATACTAAAATCACATTAATAACACACCCCATATAGTAAAATAGTATTAAAGTTATATATTTATTACCATTTTTAATAATACCTTTAATTATGCCTTAGAGAGAATTGAATTTAACATTAAAAAGTTGAATAAACATTCTCTCTGATAAAGAATCAATTAAATGTACTTTTTATTCATAGTATACTAAAATCACATTAATAACGCCCACCATATACAGGGTGTTCGGCCACCTCTAGCAAAAATTTTAATGAGCGATAGTAGAGGCCAAAATAAGACGAAAATCAAGAATACCAATTTGTTGATGGAAGCTTCGTTAAAAAGTTATTAACGTTTAAAGTGCCGCCCTAACTGAATTTTTTTCTCGAAAATGCGCAAGATTTCGGGGGTATGTCTATTCACCAAAAATGACTGTAATTGAACCCTACAACCGAAAATAATTTTTCCACAACGATTTGCAATTTTTTAATTTTCTCGAATAATTTCACACCTTCTCTATTTTTTTTCTCGAAAGTGGGCAGGATTTCGTGGGTATGTCTAATGACAAAAACTGATTGCAATTGACCCCCGCAACCGAAAATAATTTTTCCACAACGATTTGCAATTTTTTTTCTCCGTTGAAAAATTTAGGCGCCTAATTGGATTTTCAGTAAGGAATTTTTTTCTCGAAAGTGCGTACAATTTCGGAGGTATGTGTAATGATAAAAAATGATTGTAATTGATCCCCGCAACCGAAAATAATTTTTTTAGAACGATTTGAAAAATTTTTTTTCGCCGAAAAATTTCACCACCTACTCGATTTTTTTTCTCGAAAGTAGATAGGATTTCGGAGGTATGTGTGCTCACCAAAAATGATTGTAGTTGACCCCCGCAACCGAAAATAATTTTTCCAGAACGATTTGAAATTTTTGAATTTAATTGTTAATAACTCTTTAACGAAGCTTCCATCAACAAATTAGTACTCTTGATTTTCGTCTTATTTTGGCCTCTACTATCGCTCATTAAAATTTTTGCTAGAGGTGGCCGAACACCCTGTATAGTAAAATACTATTAAAGTTATATGTCGAAGAGTATTGCTTTGCGAAAAGTAGTCTCCATATTTTATTTTCATATTATTTTATGATTCTGAGATTTTTAATAATATTCCATTTTAAAATCCCGTGTTTGTAACAATGCATATATATGTATTATTCGTTACCATTTTTAATAATACCTTTAAGTATTGAATTTAACATTAAAAAGTTGAACAAACATCCTCTCTAATAAAGAAACAATTAAGCTTGATAAAAACGATTCGTGACAAGGAATCACAAAAAAGGAATTATATCAAAACATTAATTACGATACGAACATATTGTTTTGTTTTTCTGTTGTTGTTCAGCCCAAATATGTCTCCCTGAGAGTACGGCATCGCTTTTTTATGCACACGTGTTTAATTTACTTCTATTATAAATCTACGTTTATATCGAACAGTTATATCGAATGTGATCATTACAAAACCACGACACACGGTATTTCAGATTTTCGAAAATGTCAAACGACGAGTCGCTGACAGCGTGCAAGGAGGAGAAGGAAGATAAGACGGATCCGGGCGCTAGTAGACACGGGAACTTCATGAATTATTACCAATTCCATCCTGCGGAAGAGCGCGTGCGACAACTTCCGCGTGGCGTGTGGCGGCCGGCCCATCCGGACCGGAAATACGTAGGCCTAGACGTCGGTTGTAACGCGGGGGTAAGACTGAAACAGCTGTCAGACGAAATAGGATGAGTCGGCCGTGATCCGAAATTACAAACGACGCGTGTCTAAATTTAGCGGAGTTATCCCTTTTACAGAATTGCTCGAAAACTTGGATGCTTCCGGAAATTCGTTCGGTTTTTGTTATAACGCGAACGGGCATTCCTACTCTCGACGTTTCCGTAAATAGAATCGTAAAATAGGGAAACTTTAGTTGCCTATGGCGAGTGTAAAAAGTATTCGTACTAATTACGACCAAAATGCTGAATAACTCCTACAATAGTGAATATATTTCACTGAAATTTTGAGGGGGGCTGGAGTTCGTGGATACCTACAAAAAAGTATTAAACAACTTCCCTGTGCAGCGCCGACCAAATTTATTAAAAATGGAAAACGAATTTCTAAGAAAGATCGATAATGCCTAAATTTTTGGATGAAAAACAAAATTTCAAATCGTTCTGAAAAAATTATTTTCGGTTATAGGGGTCAATTACAATCATATTTGTTGAATAGGCATATCCCCGAAATCCAACGCATTTTCGAGAAAAAAAATCGAATAGGTGTCTAAATTTTTCGGTGAAAAAGAAAATTTCAAATCGTTCTGAAAAAATTATTTTCTGTTATAGGGGTCAATTACAATCATATTTGTTGAATAGGCATATCCCCGAAATCCAACGCATTTTCGAGAAAAAAAATCGAATAGGTGTCTAAATTTTTCGGTGAAAAAGAAAATTTCAAATCGTTCTGAAAAAATTATTTTCTGTTATAGGGGTCAATTACAATTATTTTTGTTGAATAGACATACCCTCGAAATCCTACTCACTTTCTAGAAAAAAATTCGAGAAGGTGTGAAATTTTACGACGAAAACACAAAATTGCAAATCGTTTTGGAAAAATTGTTTTCGTTTGCGGGGGTCAATCACAATCATTTTTGGTGAATAGATGTACCCCCGAAATCCTGCGCATTTTCGAGAAAAAAATTCAGTTCGGACTTTAAACGTTAATAAATTATATTATCGGTAAGGAATTTCTTTTCTCGAAAATGGTTAGGATTTCGAGGTTATGTGTATTGACCAAAAATGATTGTAATTGATACCCTCAACCGCAAATAATTTTTTCAGGACGATTCCAATATTTTTTTTGCCGATAAAAGCTACCCCCTGTCAATTTTTCTTGAAACTTCGTTTTTGATTTTTAGTAATTTTGTTTGACGCGCTATAGAAAAGTTGTCTAATACTTTTTTGTAGGCGCCCATGAGCTCTACTTCAGAAAAAAAGTTTCATTGAAATATATTCACTATTGTCGAAGTTATGGCTGTTTGAAAATTGGACCATTTTTATGGGTTTTTTTTTCATTTTACGGGGTTAAGGAATAACTTTTTGAATATTTTTGCGATTTGTACATATTCTCCACTAAAATACGCGTAGTTTGCTATTTGAAACATTAAAATCCTTCAATCCGTTCAGAAGTTATATCGTTTTAAAGATACGCATGAAATCTTGGAGTGACATTTCTGGGTCTGAAATTATATTTTCGGTAAGGAATTTTTTTCTCGAAAATGGTTAGGATTACGAGGGTTTGTCTATTGATAAAAAATGATTGTAATTGACCCTCGCAATCAAAAATAATTTTTCCAGAACGATTTGAAACTCTTTAATTATGTCGAAAAAATTGTCCACTTTCTGAATTTTTTTCTCGAAAATGCGAAGGATTTCGGGGGTATGTCACTTCACAAAAAATGATTGTAAATGACCCTCGCAATTAAAAATAATTTTTTCAGAATGATTTGAAATTTTTTAGTTTCGCCGAATTTAAACGTTAATAACTTTTTAATGAAATCTCAATCAACAAATAGGTATTCTTGATTTTCGTCTTATTTTGGCCTCTAGAATCCCCCATTAAAATTTTTCCCAGGTACACCCTGTATAAGATCTCGTTATATAAATACTAAAAATTGCTTGTTATTGCACTTCCTTCCTTCAACCTCAAGAAATCGCAAATTATTATAATATTTTCAGGATTTAACGTTCGTGTTGCACGATTTCCTCGTGAACGCCGTATCGACCGATCGAGCGGAGATCTCGTTGCTCGGCGTGGATCTCGATCCGATACTGATCGAACGAGCACGAGAACGGAACCCACGACCGGATCAGATCATTTTCGAGTGCCTCGATTTCGTTACCGACGATCGCAACCATATTTTCGAGGGCTACCTTCGCCGTTTCGAGAAGTCACGCTTCGACGTGGTATTCTGTTTCTCCGTGACGATGTGGATCCATTTGAATCACGGGGACAAAGGACTGGCGGAATTTCTACGAAAAGCTTGCTCCCTCGCGCGGATGGTCGTGATCGAGCCTCAACTTTGGAAATGTTACAGAAACGCGTCGAGACGATTGAGGCGATCGAAAGGCGAGGGATTCCCCTTATTGAAGACTCTGGAGCTCACTGGCGACCCAGCAGCGCATATCGAACGTATATTGACGAATATTTGTAACTTTCGACGAGTGGCCGTCACCGCCGACAACGAGTGGAAGCGGAGACTATTAATTTATGAGAGGACGTGAGCAACCGCTCTCAAGATTGATGCATTTCCGTAAGTTAATCGACGTCAAACGAATGAATGGAGATCTTTTTATGCGGCCACCGCTGAGAGAATATTAATGCCATCGTTAGAACGTGTAGTCCCTGAAAGCATGCCACGGACAAAGGCTACGTATACAGGGTGTAAACGCTTACCGGCTGAGAGCCTATCAATCAACTGTTTTACCGGCCAACGTTTACCGACCGATAGCCTATCAATCAACTGTTTTACCGGCCAACGTTTACCGACCGATAGCCGATTAATCAACCGCTACCGGTCGGTAAAGTGTTAAGGTACCATTTTAAACTGGTCTTCTCAACATTAATTAATAAATAATATCTGCAAAATAGATCCTTCAGAAGCTTTGTAAGAACTAGAAATAAGCTAATTTATCAAATGGTTGAATAAGGAAATAAAAATACAAAGACTTGGTATAATGGATAGTATGAAGTTTCACGAGTGTAAAAGTCATGCTCAAACATGTTAACACTTTACCGACCGATAGCCTATCAATCAACTGTTTTACCGACCAACGCTTACCGACCGATAGCCTATCAATCAACTGTTTTACCGGCCAACGTTTACCGACCGATAGCCTATTGATCGACTGTTTTACCGACCAACGCTTACCGACCGATAGCCTATCAATCAACTGTTTTACCGGCCAACGTTTACCGACCGATAGCCGATTAATCAACCGCTACCGGTCGGTAAAGTGTTAAGGTACCATTTTAAACTGGTCTTCTCAACATTAATTAATAAATAATATCTGCAAAATAGATCCTTCAGAAGCTTTGTAAGAACTAGAAATAAGCTAATTTATCAAATGGTTGAATAAGGAAATAAAAATACAAAGACTTGGTATAATGGATAGTATGAAGTTTCACGAGTGTAAAAGTCATGCTCAAACATGTTAACACTTTACCGACCGATAGCCTATCAATCAACTGTTTTACCGACCAACGCTTACCGACCGATAGCCTATCAATCAACTGTTTTACCGGCCAACGTTTACCGACCGATAGCCTATTGATCGACTGTTTTACCGACCAACGCTTACCGACCGATAGCCTATCAATCAACTGTTTTACCGGCCAACGTTTACCGACCGATAGCCGATTAATCAACCGCTACCGGTCGGTAAAGTGTTAAGGTACCATTTTAAACTGGTCTTCTCAACATTAATTAATAAATAATATCTGCAAAATAGATCCTTCAGAAGCTTTGTAAGAACTAGAAATAAGCTAATTTATCAAATGGTTGAATAAGGAAATAAAAATACAAAGACTTGGTATAATGGATAGTATGAAGTTTCACGAGTGTAAAAGTCATGCTCAAACATGTTAACACTTTACCGACCGATAGCCTATCAATCAACTGTTTTACCGACCAACGCTTACCGACCGATAGCCTATCAATCAACTGTTTTACCGGCCAACGCTTACCGGCTGAGAGCCTATCAATCAACTGTTTTACCGACCAACGCTTACCGACCGATAGCGAATTTATCAACAGTTACCGGTCGGTAAAGTGTTAAGATCGTCATGCGGCCGATTTTGACTCTGAGTCACCGTAGATAATATCTGTTTTGTTATACAGGGTGTAAACGATAACTTTGGCAAAAATCATAGGGTAAGTAGAGGCCCCATAGGCAAGTATTTTGAGCATGGGAATTGCACCAGTAAAGAATCACGGCGATCTTTAATTTTGGTCTTTCGCGCCTGATGGGTAGGCAAACTTTTTTTAGTTTATTGTTTCTTGGCCATGATTTCATTAAATGTTTACGTTGTTCATCGTAAAACTTTCAATGCTCGTCACCTACACGACTGGACCCACCTCAAAAGAAACAGTTTCCAGTACGATGGTGTTTTCTATCTGTTGAGGAACTATCGTTATGAAAGATTGAACTCAACCGCTTACATGCAGAAGAAAAAATGGTTTATTGAAAAGTATAATAATGGATATTACAAGACACGGAGGCGAAAAACTAAGTAAAAGACATTCTTCGAGGTCAGGGTTGTCGCACAACTGACTCCAAACGGAGAAAAACATTTCATCCTGAGAATTAATTGTTCTAGTATCATAATGGTAAATCCTGTCACCCATGTGTGGATGACGTGGCAGTCATAGTGTTAATGCGTATGTTTATATCAATTGTTATAAATCATTCCTTGCCAAGAAAGACTCACGCGGCAGGCAAAAGCATTTTGTATAACACATGAGTTATGAACATGAATGATGTGTATTGATTGCAAATAAATGATGGTAAAACGTGTTTTTGAACCTGGAAAAAATTTTAATGGAAAATTTTAGAGGCCAAAATGAGATGAAAATCAAGAATAATTTGTTGATTGAAGCTTCGTTAAAAAGTTATTAACATTTAAAGTTCCGCCTGTAAAACGGGCTCGTAAGCTCCATTAATACGTATTGTTTGAATTTTTGAATCATTAAAATCCTTCGATATGTCCAGAAGTTATGATTTTTTAAATATACGCATTTTTTTTATTTTTATTAAATCTGTTTGACACCATATGGAAAAGTTGTGTAATACTTTTTTGTAGGTATACATGAGCTTTACTTCAGGAAAAAATTTCATTGAAATATAGTCATTACTGTAAGAGTTATGGCTGTTTGAAAATTGGATTATTTTTATGGGGTTTTTTTTCATTTTACGGGGATATGGAATAATTTTTCGAATATTCTTGGTATTTCTATATATTCTTCACCCAAAAACGCGTTGTTTGCCATTTGAAACATTAAAATCGTCCAATCCGTTCAAAAGTTATGACGTTTTAAAAATTTTCGGGGCAATATTTCTAACTTTATATTATATTTTTAGAAAAGAATTTTTTTCTCGAAAGTGGGTAGGATTTCCGGTATATGTATATTCACCAAATATGATTGTAATTGACCCCCGCAAACAAAAATATTTTTTCCAAAAAGATTTGAAATTTTTTTTTTTCGTCGTAAAATTTCACACCTTCTCGAATTTTTTTCTAGAAAGTGCGTAGGATTTCGGGGTTATGTCTATTCACCAAAAATGACTGTAATTGACTCCTATAACCGAAAATAATTTTTTCAAAACGATTTAAAATTTTGATTTTTCACCGAAAAATTTAGAAATTTGTTTCTTAGAAATTCGTTTGCCATTTTTAATAAATTTGGTTGGCACTGCACAGAGAAGTTGTGTAATACTTTTTTGTAGGTATACATGAGCTTTACTTCAGAAAAAAATTTAATTGAAATATACTGATCACTGTAGGAGTTATGACTGTTTGAAAATTGGACCATTTTTATGGGGTTTTTCTCATTTTACAGGGTTATGGAACAATTTTTCGAATAGTTTTGAAATTTCTATATATTCTTTATCCAAATACGCGTTGTTTGCCTTTTGAAACATTGAAATCCTCCAATCTGTTCAGAAGTTATGATGTTTTAAAAATTTTCGGGGCAATATTTCTAACCTCATACGATATTTTCGAAAAAGAATTTTTTTCTCGAAAATGCGTAGGATTTCGGTGGTATGTGTATTCACCAAAAATGATTGTAATTAACTCCCGAAACCGAAAATAATTTTTCCAGAACGATTTGAAATCTTTTTTTCGTCGAATTTAGGCACCTAATTAGATTTTCGGTAAGTAATTTTTTTCTCAAAAGTGCGTAGGATTTCGAGGATAATTGTAATGACCAAAAATGATTGTAATTGACACCTGCAACAGAAAATAATTTTTTTATAACGATTTGACAAATTTTTTTTCGTCAAAAAATTTCAGCACCTACTCGAATTTTTTTCTCGAAAATGCGTAGGATTTCGGGGGTATGTCTATTCACCAAAAATGACTGTAATTGACCCCCGCAAACAAAAATAATTTTTCCAGAAAGATTTGAAATTTTTAAATTTTGTCAACTTTGTCCACCTACTCGAATTTTTTTCTCGAAAATGCGCAGGATTTCGAGTATATGTCTATTCACCAAAAATGATTGTAATTGACCCTCGCAACCGAAAATAATTTTTCCAGAATGATTTGAAATTTTTTAATTTAATTATTGTTAATAACTTTTTAACGAAGCCTCAATCAACAAATTGATATTCTTGATTTTCGTCTTATTTCGGTCTCTAGAATCTCCCATTAAAATTTTTCCCACGGTTGGTCAGACATCCTGTATATTTAATGTGGTAATAATAGAAAAAAAATGATTAAAGAAGATTTCTAAATATCAAAACACATTAGACACACCACACGCTCGTTTCGAATCACATACATATACACATACTGTCATCGTCCTGTATATTATAATTAGACTGCGGATATTTATGCATTTATGGGAAATTTAGATTGTCAAAAAACTATAGAATGCATTTAATATGCATAAATATAACAAAAACTCAAGTAAGATAAGAATTATTGTATTTAGAGGTTGAAAGAACCCTCTACGAAGCTATTATTTTATTAATTTTATTAACAAATATATGAATTTGCATAAAAATCCGCAGTCTAATTATAATATATTTCGAACGTTCAACTCGATTCGACCGTTGCCAATCGTCTTTTCTAACATGTATAATGTGTAACAGATATTTAGAGTAATAAACTATTTTAATTATATGATTAGAACGATCTAATTAATATTATTCGATTAGATATATCATTGATAACCCAATACATATATTTGTACATTTACATGGGAATGAATCGATAACAGGTTTATTTAAATAACGCGTATATTAACAGACTCGGTAATAATATGTTAAGTAAAGAATACGACGGAGGAAGATAATCGAGAAGAGTCAACAGCCAGAGAAGTGGAAGTAATTGTTTAAAGAGAAAGATTCCGCGAACGACGCAAGATGGCGATAGCGTGCAAACGTCGGTTCAGCTGATGACGAAGTACGACAACAGAAAGTGACATGAACTCTGCGAGTAAGGTAAGCGAAAAGGCAGACGCTGTTGCCGATTTTAGGCAGTTTCCCGCCACATAACACTTAACGGTCGCTTCTCCCCAATCGCTCATCTTTCTTTTTCTACGCGAGTCACGTGCTTTAACTCTCGAGTACCCTAGTAATGGAGTCTACAAGCGGTCAGAAGGTTAGGTTATGATCACGTTCTGATAGAACATTTTTTTTACTACGTTTCATCTTATTACACGATCATTCGATGTGTCGTGGCACAGTGTGTTCACTTAATTTCTAAACGAACTTGTACGAGAAGAAAAGAGCCAAGTTGATACTAATTATGTGTTTGTACGACCGACGAATATTTCATTCCTGTTTCAGGTTGGTGAAATTTTCACCGCAGCCGGGGCAGCATTCAATAAGCTCGGTGAATTGACTATGCAGTTGCACCCCACGACGGACTCACCAGCTGGGTAATTTAACGAGAAACAAATATAACATTGCTTTCGAGTAGCAACGACGCGTCTAACGCTTTCGCTTAAATTCACACGACTGCTCTGTCCGTAGAAAAGCGCGGGAAAACGTCACGTGTACCGCTTGTTAACCAATACGAAGCACGAAGCCATATTTGCTTCGTTCGAATGTTTTGAAAATAAATCGATAGGAATAAATTACAATTGAAAATTGTCGAAGACTATTAAAATCGTTTCCTTCGTAAATAATTTATCTTAATTTCTGAATAACTGTGATAAATATTGTTTGTGATCGTATCTGTTACTGCATGTATGTTTAAAAATGAGTTGCAAATTAGTGGCTGAATTTTGACATAATTTCCTGTGTCGCTTGATCTGTAGTAAATGGACTGACGAGGAAATTGAGATGCTCCGTCACTCGGTAAAGACCTTCAGTGAAGACTTGACCAAAATAAGTGAACACATCAAGGGGCGAACGGTGTAAGTTAACAAGGCTGCATCGAGCCCACGGTTGTTCCTCAATTTCTCTACGTCAGTCTCGATTCAACGTTAACGGGACAATTTTTTGCGTTTCAGATCTCAGATTCGGACAACGTTAAAGAAGAAAGCCTTCGAAGAGGCCGGGGTGCCCATCAGGCAACAGATACTGTCTCAACAGTCGTCACAACAGTCGCAAGTGTCGAAGCAACAAACCGGGAATCAAGGGTTAATGGGAAAGTCAGCGGAAGTAACGCTAAACATGCTAAATGCACCAGAATCGGAGGTGGACGTTGAAGGACTACCGGAAGAGTGTCAAGTGAAGCTCGAGTTCGAGGGCGCGACGGAAGAAGTCGCGTCTTAAGTCGTTGTGATCTTTCGAACTGCGAGTTTTCCATATCTCGATCTCTAAAGTTAAGATAATTTTCGTACAATATATGTTTAGCGTTAAGTATTAATAATGTACATTCGATAAATTATGTTTCTCAATAAATTCGTAAAAATGAAGATTCGTTTTACATGGATCTACTTTACCGACCAATCTCGTAAGGTTCTGAATGGTGGCGCCACACAACGGGAAATCATTGAAAGCTGTCATGGTTGCCAACGTTCACTCGTGTTCACTGTGATATTTTTTTCTTAAATAGGGATTTTCTCGTTGCACCAGAATCGGAGGTGGACGTTGAAGGACTACCGGAAGAGTGAAATGAAGATTCGTTTTACAGGGATCTACTTTACCGACCAATCTATTAAGGTTCTGAATGGTGGCGCCACAGAACAGGAAATCACTGAAAGCTGTCATGGTTGCCAACGTTCACTCGTGTTCACTGTGATATTTTTTTCTTAAATAGGGATTTTCTCGTTGCACCAGAATCGGAGGTGGACGTTGAAGAACTACCGGAAGAGTGAAATGAAGATTCGTTTTACAGGGATCTACTTTACCGACCAATCTCTTAAGGTTCTGAATGGTGGCGCCACAGAACAGGAAATCATTGAAAGCTGTCATGGTTGCCAACGTTCACTCGTGTTCACTATGATATTTTTTTCTTACATAGGGATTTTCTCGTTGCACCAGAATCGGAGGTGGACGTTGAAGGACTAGCGGAAGAGTGAAATGAAGATTCGTTTTACAGGGATCTACTTTACCGACCAATCTCTTAAGGTTCTGAATGGTGGCGCCACAGAACGGGAAATCATTGAAAGCTGTCATGGTTGCCAACGTTCACTCGTGTTCACTATGATATTTTTTTCTTAAATAGGGACTTTTTCGTCGATCCTTTGGTATTCGCGTGTTTTGTGGCTTACGTTAGGTTATCGCGTGACGTATACGACTGACAGATTAGTAATGAGACGACTGACATCGCACCTAAGTCGCTGAAGTAGTTAATCGACAGCATTCACGAGCTGATCCCTAGCACAATTCTTCTTTTTTTGAATCGACTTGCAACCGAATCGTCATAAACAGGGATTGGCTCGTGTGTGTTCGATTAATGTGTAATGACAAGTACGGTAAACTCTAGTGGACATCGCCAAATCGAGGCACCTGTGGCTGTATGTGTCAGTTGTAAACAATAAAATTTAAACTCAATTCGACGTAAACATAACATGGAAGGAGGCATATTAGAAACTCCAGAAACCACACTGGACACATCCGACGATGAAATCGCCTTACAAGGCTTCTGCAGCCCTAAAAAGCTACCATTCAGATGTCTTGGACTGGTACTTATGTGTTTGTTAGGTTTTGGTAAGATTGTTACTCTAATACTACCTTTACGATCTAATCGAATAACCATTGTTTATGTCAGTTTCATTTTTTTCTCATACAACCTCGTTAACCACATTTACTTTATGGCATGCCAAATTGTTTATTCTCGAGATAAACGTTAACATTAATAGTATACACTATTTACAGAAATTTACAGTTTTAAAACATTCTTTTGTTTGCATAGTATTATAATGGATAAAGTTTAATCAACAAATAAAATGTAAACATTGCATATTATATTTAATATTTAACGATAAAAAAAGCATTCTATCTTCGTCAAATTCGTTATTTGTAAATTTGAAATTTGTTATGATTTTCACGAAGCGCGAAACGAACGTATAAATTGTTCCGCTGGACACAAAGAAACATTTTCGGAGAAATATCGCGAAATAATCATACCGAGTTACGATAAACGTCATATTATTCGTGTTGCAATACTTTGTATGCAATTATAATTTTAATAACTGCACTGGGAAAATTTGACATATATTTGTGTCAATAATCATGCTTTAGTTTCTATTGCATCGAATATCAGTTGTACCCGAGATAAGACATATCATTGGCTGTTATTTCTCCGTAAAAATTCCTTGCCCCCCCCCCTTGTTAACATTTTGATATTGAAACGCTGTTAAGGTTCATCTCAGAAAACATGTAATACGAAAAAACGCGTGTTTATGCCAGTTCGAAGTATGAGTCACGTTTTTCAAGTGTTCTCTAAAGCACGTTTAGATCAGATCATCGACCCCCATTAAGATGCTTTGTTATTCGAAGGATGAAAATTCGTACCTATTAATGCAATTTTTTTTTTTTTCCAGGTTCGGTTTTTTGCTTCGACAATCCTAGCGCGCTACAAGATAATTTTAAAAGTGACTTGCTGATGCCGACTAGCAAATTTGTTTTACTTTATTCGATATATTCATGGCCAAACGTGATTTTCTGTTTTGTCGGAGGATTTTTATTGGACAGTGTCTTTGGCATACGTTTAGGAGCAATTGTATATATGGGGCTGTCTTTAATTGGCCAAATCATATTTGCGGCGGGTGCTATGATCAATGTTTTTTGGCTCATGATGCTTGGCCGGTTCGTGTTTGGGTATGTTTTTGACGTTTTATATAACTACAATTTACAGAACATAAATTTAAACCAAATTGGTGTTTTTAACAATTATTGATAATAATTTCAATGTATCTGTTACAGCATTGGCTCAGAATCATTGGCCGTTGCTCAGAATAATTATGCCGTTCTGTGGTTCAAGGGAAAAGAATTAAACATGGTGTTCGGTTTGCAACTGAGCTTTGCACGACTCGGATCGACAGTGAATTTTTTAGTTATGGATCCGGTCTATAATTATGTGTCCCAGTATTACAAGGGACCGCAATGCATCGGCATAGTACTTTTCCTTGCCGCTACTACATGTGTGGGTTCTTTGATATGTGCATGTGCTTTAGGTATTATCGATAAGCGTGCGGAAAGATTATTGAGAAGAGGCGAGGGTCAAGAACACAAGGTTGTTGGTCTATCGGATGTTAAGGATTTTAAGCTTATATTTTGGTTAATCACTCTCCTCTGTATTGCTTATTACGTGGCAATATTTCCATTTATCTCCTTAGGAAAGTACGTACCATGTAATACGGAAGTTCTGTAATTATGGTTTGCCTCTGTATATTACATAATCATTTTTTCCAGGGTCTTTTTTGAACGAAAATACGCGTATGAGCCAAAAAGTGCAAACACGGTCAATTCTCTTGTGTATCTCATATCAGCCATTGCATCCCCCATGTTGGGGTATGTGGTTGATAAAACTGGGAAGAATGTTTTATGGGTATTTATCAGTGTTCTTACAACTATGGTGGCTCATGCATTACTTGCATTCACATATGTAAATCCTTATATGTGCATGACTCTTATGGGAATAGCATACTCTATGCTTGCCAGTAGTTTATGGCCATTAATCGCTCTCATTACCCCAGAATATCAGCTTGGTACTGCTTATGGGATGTAAGTAAAACTAACTAGGAGAGTGCAAGTCTTTATCAGTTCTAATATAAATAGTTTAAATAAATCTGCGACCCACAGGACTTGCGCTCTCCTGGTAAGTTCAAGCGTAATATATTTAAGGTATCCCTGCGATACATAATGTTATACCTTCTATTTGCAGAGCACAATCTGTACAAAATCTAGGTTTGGCTGTAGTTACGATTTTAACTGGTATAATTGTGGACCAGGGCGGCTATTTTATGCTTGAAATATTTTTCTTGGGTTGGCTATGGAGTATGTTTCCTAATTTTTGTATATATACTAAATATTCTAATAGAGATACGTGTATGTACAAAGTTTAATAATTGACGTGTTTTAAATAGTTTCCTTGATACTTTCTGGTGCAATCTGGGTATCGGATATGACCTTAAGCGGTGGTTACTTGAACATGACACCGGGTCAAAGAGAGAAATACGAGGAAATCCGACGCACGCCTGAAAGTCTCGAGAGGGCGAAATTACTATCCCCGGAGTCTACTTCGGATTTGTCGACCGACGATCTGTTGCAAACACAGTCCGACATTAACATTAGAAATCGTTACCTGTCCCGTATTGGCGCAATGGTAATTTATTAAATATGTTAATGTAATTTAAACGACCGAATCTATAAATTGCATAACCTTTTTTTTTTTATGCTTTCAGATACCTCCTTCTGCGAAAGCGCAGATCCACCGACCATTGCGATGATACATTCCATTTAGCTAAAAATTCCGAATATAAATAGCTATTTTCGTTTGAAACATCATTAAAAAAATTGCTCACTGTGTCTTCCTCTTACACAGCATTAATCTGTGATAATTTCTTAATCGATACATTTAAAACCGATTATTGATTCATTTTTAACCCGATCGACAAGCAATTTTTTTTTTTATCGTTAGATTAATCTGACAACTGACAAATAACATATATTTGTTTCACATTAACTGTAGTAGTAAAGTATAATAATAATCGAATCTCACTAATCATTATGCAGGAACATGTTTATAATATAAATAAAACAAGAATTATTTTCTATCTTCTATTTGAAAACAAAAACCATGCGTAGATATTAAATTAATTATTATTACGTAAGATCTCTAATATGTTGTAATATATCGCTGTATTTAAATGTACATTTTAGTGTGTGGTTAAATCAAAATAAGAACCATTTAATTTCTTTGCATTATTTTATACCCGAAGATATTTAATATACAGTTACGTACGCACTTTGGTATTCCGTTAGATATAGGAAGTACAGGAATTGATTTGAGACATAAAACTAAGATAAAAAGTAAAGATAAAAGTTTTGTGTTATAATAATCGTAGTTGTACAGAACATAAGTACATATAAAGCAATTTGATATTACCGTACTGTGTTTCCATGTTATTTCAGGGTCACGAGGTCAAGCTAATTTGTATAAAAGAAACGAATAAGATTATTATAACAAAATATACTACAAGCTGTAAACAAGGTCAAATAGGGTATAGTTCTCATGCACCCTTTTTTCTTATTTTTATGTTCCGAATCAATTTTTGTTATACACGTATATTAGCATATAAATTTTGCATTTACAAGATTAATATGTTCCTTCATTATGAAATTAAAGTATTGTTATCGCACGAGCGTACGATAAACGATGTCATAGCAAACAAATTAAAATTTAAAAGACTTTTAATATAATTTGTGCGATGGAGATAACATGGACATATGTCGCGTGATTTAAAAAATGTGATCACGTTTTTCTCATAACGCTGCAAATAAAATAATTATTCCTATCGTGCAACGATTGTTTCACATAATTATTGCAAAAGCAGAATAATCGAAAAAGAAACATCACTATCGCTATCACGGTCGTATAAAGCATGTTTGTCATATTCAGAAAGAGAAATGTGAAACAAATAGCCTAAATCGGTGATGCTACGCCATTGGCTACTGTTTGGTTCTGTCAAAGCGCTTATTTGTACACAGCTATAGTGTGCAACACGTGCGTGCTCGTGGACAGAGTTACCGTTGGTAAGTCCGTCGTTTGTGGTAGAATTATAGGCGACATGGGCGTCCACGACAACACAGATTCGAAGTACAATGTTATAGGTACTTCCAGCTTTTCAAAATTAGCACCGAAACGTCCTACTGCCGTCGTGTTTAACGAGAGTCCCAGCAAAATTCAAAAACACGAGGACAGTAAAAATGTTCAGACAGAAAGTGCGGACAGAGGAAACGTTAATTTACAACAACAGAGGAAATCGTTACCAGTCTACAGGCTGCGTAAGCGGTAAGTGCTGCATCAATTTCTTTTGTTTCTTGATCGATTTTTCCTGTTATTTTCTCCTGCGAGGAACATTCACGGCGTACTCGGAAACGTAATGTAAAACAAAATGGAGACTCATCGACTGTGCGTGATTAATCATTCGGTAACTCACCGCACTGATGGCGCCACTGTATTCAAAGCGCGCGTATTCTAAATATTTCAAAAATCTTTTGGTGAATTCGTTCGGGATTTCGTTTCGGGATTTAAATCTAATATGATTTTAAATATAAATAATGTTTAGTAGTATTTCTGCTTATGAAGAATGTTATGATTAGAGTAAAAGACGATTTCTTGTAATGGAGGATAAAATTAACGAATTTTTAATGAATTATCGCACTTAAAATGACATTGTATTCATTGTGGCGCCACTGTATTCAAAGCGCGCGTATTTTAAATATTTCAAAAATCTTTTGGTGAATTCGTTCGGGATTTCGTTTCGGGATTTAAATCTAATATGATTTTAAATATAAATAATGTTTATTAGTATTTCTGCTTATGAAGATTGTTATGATTAGAGTAAAAGACGATTTCTTGTAATGGAGGATAAAATTAAAGAATTTTTAATGAATTATCGCACTTAAAATGACATTGTATTCATTGTGGCGCCACTGTATTCAAAGCGCGCGTATTTTAAATATTTCAAAAATCTTTTGGTGAATTCGTTCGGGATTTCGTTTCGGGATTTAAATCTAATATGATTTTAAATATAAATAATGTTTAGTAGTATTTCTGCTTATGAAGAATGTTATGATTAGAGTAAAAGACGATTTCTTGTAATGGAGGATAAAATTAACGAATTTTTAATGAATTATCGCACTTAAAATGACATTGTATTCATTGTGGCGCCACTGTATTCAAAGCGCGCGTATTTTAAATATTTCATAAATCTTTTGGTGAATTCGTTCGGGATTTCGTTTCGGGATTTAAATCTAATATGATTTTAAATATAAATAATATTTATTAGTATTTTTGCTTATGAAGAATGTTATGATTAGAGTAAAAGACGATTTCTTGTAATGGAGGATAAAATTAAAGAATTTTTAATGAATTATCGCACTTAAGATGACATTTGTTAATATTTCAAGTTTTTAAAAAATTATCACAAGTACAATAAAATGGAAATATTGTATTGGTTAGGTATTCTTTTCATTTTTAATATGATTTTAAATATAAATAATATTTATTAGTATTTCTGCTTATGAAGAATGTTATGATTAGAGTAAAAGACGATTTCTTGTAATGGAGGATAAAATTAAAGAATTTTTAATGAATTATCGCACTTAAAATGACATTGTATTCATTGTGGCGCCACTGTATTCAAAGCGCGCGTATTTTAAATATTTCAAAAATCTTTTGATGAATTCGTTCGGGATTTCGTTTCGGGATTTAAATCTAATATGATTTTAAATATAAATAATGTTTATTAGTATTTCTGCTTATGAAGAATGTTATGATTAGAGTAAAAGACGATTTCTTGTAATGGAGGATAAAATTAACGAATTTTTAATGAATTATGGCACTTAAGATGACATTTGTTAATATTTCAAGTTTTTAAAAATTATTACAAGTACAATGAAATGGAAATATTGTATTGGTTAGGTATTCTTTTCATTTTTAATATGATTTTAAATATAAATAATATTTATTAGTATTTCTGCTTATGAAGAATGTTATGATTAGAGTAAAAGACGATTTCTTGTAATGGAGGATAAAATTAAAGAATTTTCAATGAATTATCGCACTTAAAATGACATTTGTTAATATTTCAAGATTTTAAAAATTATTATAAGTACAATGAAATGAAAATATTGTATTTCTTAGGTTTCCTTTTCATTTTTCACGCGTGTTTGATTTTATTATTATGTTAACGTTCTTTATGACTAATTATAGGGTACATTTATTTTGTTATGGGTGTAAATAGAAGACACTTTCAGTTGTCTTAGGGTAGATAAATACGAAACTCGATAGAAAAGTGAGATTTTAAACCACTTTTTTTTTATCACCTTATACAGGGTGTTCGGCCACCCCTGGGAAAAATTTTAATGTGGGATTCTAGAGGCCAAAATAAGACGAAAATCAAGAATTCCAATTTGTTGATGGAGGCTTCATTAAAAAGTTATTAACAATTAAATTCAAAAATTTTTCAAATCGTACTAAAAAAATTATCCCCGGTTGCGGGGGTCAATTACAATCATTTTTGGTCATTACACATCCCCCCGAAATCCTACGCACTTTCGAGAAAAAAATTCCTTACCGAAAATCTAATTAGGTGCCTAAATTCGACGAAAAAAAAAATTTGAAATCGTTTTGGAAAAATTATTTTTGTTTGCGGGGGTCAATTATAATCATTTTTGGTGAATAGACGTACCCTCGAAATCCTACCCACTTTCTAGAAAAAAATTCGAGAATGCGTGAAATTTTTCGATGGAAAAAAGAAAATTTCAAGTCGTTTTGAAAAAATTATTTTTGTTTGCTGGGGTCAATTACAATCATTTTTGGTGAATAGACATAGCCCTGAAATCTTGCGCATTTTCGAGAAAAAAATTCAGTTCGGACTTTAAACGTTAATAAATTATATTATCGGTAAGGAATTTTTTTTCTCGAAAATGGTTAGGATTTCGAGGTTATGTGTATTGACCAAAAATGATTGTAATTGATACCCTCAACGGCAAATAATTTTTCCAGGACTATTCCAATATTTTTTTTGCCGATAAAAGCTACCCCCTGTCAATTTTTCTTGAAACTTCGTTTTTGATTTTTAGTAATTTTGTTTGACATGTTATAGAAAAGTTGTCTAATACTTTTTTGTAGATACCCATGAGCTCTACTTCAGAAAAAAGTTTCATTGAAATATATTCACTATTGTCGAAGTTATGGCTGTTTGAAAATTGGACCACTTTTATGGAGTTTTTCTCACTTTACGGGGTCAAGGAACAACTTTTTCAATATTGTTAGAATTTCTACCTATTCTTCATTAAAATACGCGTTATTTGCCTTTGGGAACATTAAAATCCTTCAATCCGTTCAGAAGTTATGTCGTTTTAAAGATACGCATGAAATCTTGGAGTGACATTTCTGGTCTGAAATTATATTTTCGGTAAGGAATTTTTTTCTCGAAAATGGTTAGGATTTCGAGGGTGTATCTATTGATAAAAAATGATTGCAATTGACCCTCGCAATCAAAAATAATTTTTCCAGAACGATTTGAAATTTTTTTTTTACGTCGAAAAATTTAGGCATCTTCTCTAATTTTTTTCTCGAAAATGCGTTGGATTTCGAGGATATGCCTATTCAACAAATATGATTGTAATTGACCCCTATAACCGATAATAATTTTTTCAGAACGATTTGAAATTTTTTAGTTTCGCCGAATTTAAACGTTAATAACTTTTTAACGAAGCCTCCATCAACAAATTGGTATTCTTGATTTTCGTCTTATTTTGGCCTCTACTATCGCTCATTAAAATTTTTGCTAGAGGTGGCCGAACACCCTGTACATCAATTCTAAGATTCCAATGAGTAGCTCGATCAAAAATTATGAGATTTACACAGTAGTTTAAGTATTCTTCAAAGATGATTACTGCAATAGACAAACGAAGGCAAACTTTGGAATTAAGTGAAGATAGGATAGATATAGCGAGTTCAATAAAAGAGTTGTGAGAGAGATGAAACCGACACCCGAGAAAGGAGATATTCTCCAAGTGAGATCCTAAGAGCCCAAGTTGGCCTGAAGTAATGCGATAAGCAGTTCCGGATCAACTTGGTTGGAAAACAAGTAAAGAGCTAGCAAATACAAAAAATAAAAGGGGTAATCGTCTGAACAGTCTGTTAGAATATTTGGAAATTGTTGTGTATAAGAGTTGTAAGAAGTTATAAAAAGAAATAACCCTTGGGGAAGAGAACAGAAGTTAGTTGATTGATTCGTAATTCATTATCTTTGCTCTTCATGGTCGAACTCGTACACCTTTTGTACGCAATCGTTTAACGACTTACGGGGTTCTTGGTTTCAAAGATGTATATCCAAACTCTTTATTAGTTTTCTATTCTCTTGGTTCACGAAGATAGTAAACACCTTTAAACGCGTTCTAATTAAAAATCTCTTTTCATTGTTCTGTTCTTCGAAGTGGCGAACATCTTGTTTCCGATTGGATTGATTCCAGAAGGTAATGTTTTCGATTTGATTGATTGCAGACTGCTCGAAGAGATTCGGAGGAACAGTACCCTGATCATAATCGGTGAGACTGGTAGCGGGAAGACGACCCAAATCCCTCAGTTGCTTCTTTCTTGCGGAGTCGCTGGTGCATCCGGTTGCATCGGTATCACGCAGCCCAGAAGGGTGGCGGCTGTGAGCGTGGCGCGAAGGGTGGCCCAGGAACAGGGCGTGGAGACGGGGAAATTGGTCGGTTATTGCGTGCGTTTCGAGGACGTGACATCCTCGCAGACTAGAATCAAGTACCTCACCGACGGAATGATGGTCCGGGAGGCGATGACCGACGAAATCCTATCGGATTATTCCGTGGTGATTCTCGACGAGGCTCACGAGAGATCGGTGCAAACTGACGTGTTGCTCGGCGTGGCTCGACGGGCGCAGAATTTACGAAAGCTTAAGAACCTGCCGCCGTTGAAGCTGCTCGTGATGTCGGCGACGATGGACGTCGATAAGTTCGCCAAGTATTTTCAAGCACCGACGGTGTACTTAGAGGGTCGTCAGCATCCCGTGAAGATTTATCACGCCGTCAAGTCGCAAGAAGATTATGCGTTCTCTGCCCTTGTTACCGCCTTTCAGATTCATCGTGATAATCCTGCCAAGTAAGCGGGACTTTTATCTACCTTCCCCACCTTTCCATTCTATTTTATATTATCCGTTGTCTACGGTTGAATGGATTGTTAAAGATCTAAATACTAACGCGTACGTCGAACGTCGAGCTAATATAGTTTCATTGAAACGAAAAATATGGAATTTTGTATTGGTTAAAAGAATGCTAAAAGATCTCAATATCAACGCGTCGAACGTTGAGTTAATATCGTTTCATTGAAATGAAAAATATGGAATTTTGTATTGGTTAAGAGAAAGCTAAAAGATCTCTATACTAACGCGTCGAACGTCGAGCTAATATAGTTTCATTGAAACGAAAAATATGGAATTTTGTATCAGTTAAAAGAAAGCTGTTTGAATGCTTAACACTAGAAAGACTGAAACTTAGTATATACCTATATTGCCCAAAAGCAGTCAAAATGACTGTATTGTGAAAGACTAACTAATGTGTAAAGAAATTTGTTTAAAATTAATTTTTAATATTATGTTATAATATTATGAACTTAGGGCGCAGAAATAAAATAAACAACTTGTTAGAACAAGTATCACTGCATAAAGATTCGAATAACAAGTACTACTTTAGCTTATTGAGAAACTGCAATTTATCAATAGGTCTGGATTAGGTCTGGGTTAGGTCTGGATTAGATCTGAGTTAGATCTGAGTTAGGACTGGGTTAGGTCTGGATTAGATCTGGGTTAAGTCTGGATTAGGTCTGGATTAGATCTGGATTAGATCTGGGTTAGGTCTGGATTAGATCTGAGTTAGATCTGAGTTAGGTCTGGGTTAGGTCTGGATTAGATCTGAGTTAGGTCTGGGTTAGGTCTGGATTAGATCTGGATTAGATCTGGGTTAGGTCTGGATTAGATCTGGATTAGATCTGGGTTAGGTCTGGATTAGATCTGGGTTAGGTCTGGGTTAGGTCTCATTTACACTGTTGTTGTATTTTGTAATTTCCAAGTGTATGATTTGGTTTGGACTCGAAAAAATGTCGAATGGGACTTGACGAACAATGCTTTTAAGTGTTTTATTTGAAATTTACCTGTTAAAATAAGTGTTTTATTTACACTGTTGTTGTATTTTGTAATTTCCAAGTGTATGATATATGTTTGGTTTGGACTTGAAAGAATGTCGAGTGAGACTTGACGAAGGTGCTCCTGAGATCAAAATTGATGTCGAATCACACTCGACATAGGAGTGCAAAGGGTTAAGATAATTTGGATTATTAACTAATCCAGACCTAACCCAGACCTAACCCAGACCTAAACCAGACCTAACCCAGATCTAATTCAGATCTAATCCAGACCTAACCCAGAGCTAACTCAGATCTAATCCAGACCTAACCCAGACCTAACCCAGACCTAAACCAGACCTAACCCAGATCTAATTCAGATCTAATCCAGACCTAACCCAGAGCTAACTCAGATCTAATCCAGACCTAATCCAGACCTAACTCAGATCTAACTCAGATCTAATCCAAACCTAACCCAGACCTAACCCAGACCTAAACCAGACCTAACCCAGATCTAATTCAGATCTAATCCAGACCTAACCCAGATCTAATTCAGATCTAATCCAGACCTAACCCAGACCTAACTCAGATCTAACTCAGATCTAATCCAGACCTAACCCAGACCTAACCCAGACCTAAACCAGACCTAACCCAGATGTAATTCAGATCTAATCCAGACCTAACCCAGACCTAACTCAGATCTAATCCAGACCTAACCCAGACCTAACCCAGACCTAACTCAGATCTAACTCAGATCTAATCCAGACCTAACCCAGATCTAGGGTCTGGGTTAGGTCTGGGTTATGTCTGGATTAGGTCTGTTTTAGGTCTGGGTTAGGTACGCCCAAATCGACAATTTATCATGTACTTGTATGTTATCATGTGTTGGTAATCGAAAAAAAATGAAAACTGTTATTTCAATACAGAGTCGAACTGGTCATATAAGAAATTTACTCAATTCAATAATAAGAGTCATTTGATTATTTAAAATTTCCCAAGCAGTCAAAATGACTGCTTTTGGGCGATGTAGGTATAACACATATATATATATACCGGAAATGAAGGAGGGGGGAGGTAACTATAATTATTAATAAACGCATTTATATGTTGTGCAAAAGGTCACAAAATTCTATGAAATTGTGTCATTATATACATAATTGGTTTTCTAATTGAAATTAAAAAGCAGTCAAAATGACTTCCTTGGGCAATCTAGTGTTAAAGATCTCAATATCAACGCGTCGAACGTCGAGCTAATATAGTTTCATTGAAATGAAAAATATGGAATTTTGTATCGGTTAAAAGAAAGCTGTTCGAATGCTTAAAGATCTCAATACCAACGCGTCGAACGTCGATTTCTGAATTTGAATGTTTCTGTGTGTTATCCAGCGAGGACATTCTGGTCTTTTTAACCGGCCAGGAAGAAATCGAAGCTGCAGTAGCGAGCGCAAGACAGGTAGCTAAGCAGTTGGATGGGCAGGGATGCCCACCGTTGAAGGTTTTCCCATTGTACTCTGCTTTGCCGACGCATCAGCAATTGGAAGCGTTTAAACCATCCGCGACGGGAATGCGGAAACTTGTCGTAGCTACCAACGTAGCCGAGACGTCTGTTACCATCGGTGGTAAGTTACGATTACGTTAATCCGCCTGACTTTTGTGAGATTATCCATTGACAATGATAAATCGCGAGTCGTTGACTTACGGCGGTTAATTAGCACCGAAGCTTTCCGCGCGTAAGTCGAGTATAAATCGAATTACAGTCGAAGTTAGAACAAAATTTAACACTTTACCGACCGATAGCCTATTAATCGACTGTTTTACCGGCCAACGCTTACCGACAGATAGCCTATTGATCAACTGTTTTATCGGCCGACGCTTACCGACCGACAGACGATTAATCAACCGCTATCGGTCGGTAAAGTGTTAATAGGAGATATTTACGATTACAAGGTACGGGTCAATTATTTCTTTTTTATTCGTGACATACGTTTAGATTCATTTTATTAATTAAATCGAAGGATCATCGATTTATTTTTCATATTATGTTCGCTATTTCATAGAGTGAACGTGTGCATCTTTCAAAATTGTTTTGTTACATGCGGTTAATCCCATAAGTAATGAGGGTACGAATACTTATGGGATCAACTGTATGTAACAAAACAATTTTAAGAAATTTGTTGAAATTTTGAGAAATTTTTTGAAAACGATGCATGCAAGATTTTGTGATAAACTTTTTACTATGAATGAACACATGTATAAAGTTTATTTCTATTAAATTATAACAATATTGATTGACCAATAACAAAAATATATTGATTTTACTCTAAGTAGTAAAAAAGTCCATAAAAGTATTCGTTTCATTCTTAGCAAAGTCGATTTTCTTTTGTTTCAAATGTCATTTCACATCGAAAATAATTTGTATAGTTCGAAATTGTGTCAAAATAACATCAATGATCAGAAATGAGTCGAAAAAGGTCCGAGATTATTCTAGAAGAGGGTAAAATAATTTTTAAATTACACCAAGAGGGTGAAAGTTATGTTGAAATAGCAAAAATAGTGGGTGGAAGTACAAGGGTTGATTTTCTTTTGTTTCGAATGTCATTTCACATCGAAAATAATTTTTATAGTTCGAAATTGTGTCAAAATAACATCAATGATCAGAAATGAGTCGAAAAAAGTCCGAGATTATTCTAGAAGAGGGTAAAATAATTTTTAAATTACACCAAGAGGGTGAAAGTTATGTTGAAATAGCAAAAATAATGGGTGGAAGTACAAGGGTCGATTTTCTTTTGTTTCGAATGTCATTTCACATCGAAAATAATTTTTATAGTTCGAAATTGTGTCAAAATAACATCAATGATCAGAAATGAGTCGAAAAAAGTGCGAGATTATTCTAGAAGAGGGTAAAATAATTTTTAAATTACACCAAGAGGGTGAAAGTTATGTTGAAATAGCAAAAATAGTGGGTGGAAGTACAAGGGTTGATTTTCTTTTGTTTCGAATGTCTTTTAACATCGAAAATAATTTGTATAGTTCGAAATTGTGTCAAAATAACATCAATGATCAGAAATGAGTCGAAAAAGGTCCGAGATTATTCTAGAAGAGGGTAAAATAATTTTTAAATTACACCAAGAGGGTGAAAGTTATGTTGAAATAGCAAAAATAGTGGGTGGAAGTACAAGGGTTGATTTTCTTTTGTTTCGAATGTCTTTTAACATCGAAAATAATTTGTATAGTTCGAAATTGTGTCAAAATAACATCAGTGATCAGAAATGAGTCGAAAAAAGTCCGAGATTATTCTAGAAGAGGGTAAAATAATTTTTAAATTACACCAAGAGGGTGAAAGTTATGTTGAAATAGCAAAAATAGTGGGTGGAAGTACAAGGGTCGATTTTCTTTTGTTTCGAAGGTCATTTCACATCGAAAATAATTTTTATAGTTCGAAATTGTGTCAAAATAACATCAGTGATCAGAAATGAGTCGAAAAAAGTGCGAGATTATTCTAGAAGAGGGTAAAATAATTTTTAAATTACACCAAGAGGGTGAAAGTTATGTTGAAATAGCAAAAATAGTGGGTGGAAGTACAAGGGTCGATTTTCTTTTGTTTCGAATGTCATTTCACATCGAAAATAATTTGTATAGTTCGAAATTGTGTCAAAATAACATCAGTGATCAGAAATGAGTCGAAAAAAGTCCGAGATTATTCTAGAAGAGGGTAAAATAATTTTTAAATTACACCAAGAGGGTGAAAGTTATGTTGAAATAGCAAAAATAATGGGTGGAAGTACAAGGGTCGATTTTCTTTTGTTTCGAATGTCATTTCACATCGAAAATAATTTTTATAGTTCGAAATTGTGTCAAAATAACATCAGTGATCAGAAATGAGTCGAAAAAAGTTCGAGATTATTCTAGAAGAGGGTAAAATAATTTTTAAATTACACCAAGAGGGTGAAAGTTATGTTGAAATAGCAAAAATAATGGGTGGAAGTACAAGGGTCGATTTTCTTTTGTTTCGAATGTCATTTCACATCGAAAATAATTTTTATAGTTCGAAATTGTGTCAAAATAACATCAATGATCAGAAATGAGTCGAAAAAAGTCCGAGATTATTCTAGAAGAGGGTAAAATAATTTTTAAATTACACCAAGAGGGTGAAAGTTATGTTGAAATAGCAAAAATAATGGGTGGAAGTACAAGGGTCGATTTTCTTTTGTTTCGAATGTCATTTCACATCGAAAATAATTTTTATAGTTCGAAATTGTGTCAAAATAACATCAGTGATCAGAAATGAGTCGAAAAAAGTCCGAGATTATTCTAGAAGAGGGTAAAATAATTTTTAAATTACACCAAGAGGGTGAAAGTTATGTTGAAATAGCAAAAATAATGGGTGGAAGTACAAGGGTCGATTTTCTTTTGTTTCGAATGTCATTTCACATCGAAAATAATTTTTATAGTTCGAAATTGTGTCAAAATAACATCAATGATCAGAAATGAGTCGAAAAAAGTCCGAGATTATTCTAGAAGAGGGTAAAATAATTTTTAAATTACACCAAGAGGGTGAAAGTTATGTTGAAATAGCAAAAATAATGGGTGGAAGTACAAGGGTCGATTTTCTTTTGTTTCGAATGTCATTTCACATCGAAAATAATTTTTATAGTTCGAAATTGTGTCAAAATAACATCAATGATCAGAAATGAGTCGAAAAAAGTGCGAGATTATTCTAGAAGAGGGTAAAATAATTTTTAAATTACACCAAGAGGGTAAAAGTTACGTTGAAATAGCAAAAATAATGGGTGGAAGTACAAGGGTTGATTTTCTTTTGTTTCGAATGTCTTTTAACATCGAAAATAATTTGTATAGTTCGAAATTGTGTCAAAATAACATCAGTGATCAGAAATGAGTCGAAAAAAGTCCGAGATTATTCTAGAAGAGGGTAAAATAATTTTTAAATTACACCAAGAGGGTGAAAGTTATGTTGAAATAGCAAAAATAATGGGTGGAAGTACAAGGGTCGATTTTCTTTTGTTTCGAATGTCATTTCACATCGAAAATAATTTTTATAGTTCGAAATTGTGTCAAAATAACATCAATGATCAGAAATGAGTCGAAAAAAGTGCGAGATTATTCTAGAAGAGGGTAAAATAATTTTTAAATTACACCAAGAGGGTGAAAGTTATGTTGAAATAGCAAAAATAGTGGGTGGAAGTACAAGGGTCGATTTTCTTTTGTTTCGAATGTCATTTCACATCGAAAATAATTTGTATAGTTCGAAATTGTGTCAAAATAACATCAGTGATCAGAAATGAGTCGAAAAAAGTCCGAGATTATTCTAGAAGAGGGTAAAATAATTTTTAAATTACACCAAGAGGGTGAAAGTTATGTTGAAATAGCAAAAATAATGGGTGGAAGTACAAGGGTCGATTTTCTTTTGTTTCGAATGTCATTTCACATCGAAAATAATTTTTATAGTTCGAAATTGTGTCAAAATAACATCAATGATCAGAAATGAGTCGAAAAAAGTGCGAGATTATTCTAGAAGAGGGTAAAATAATTTTTAAATTACACCAAGAGAGTGAAAGTTACGTTGAAATAGCAAAAATAATGGGTGGAAGTACAAGGGTCGATTTTCTTTTGTTTCGAATGTCATTTCACATCGAAAATAATTTGTATAGTTCGAAATTGTGTCAAAATAACATCAGTGATCAGAAATGAGTCGCAAAAAGTGCGAGATTATTCTAGAAGAGCGTAAAATAATTTTTAACACTTTACCGACCGATAGCCTATTAATCAACTGTTTTACCAACCAACGCTTACCGACCGATAGCCTATTAATCAACTGTTTTACCGACCAACGCTTACCGACCGATAGCCGATTAATCAACCGCTACCTGTCGGTAAAGTGTTAAATTATACCAAGAGAGTGAAAGTTATGTTGAAATAACAAAAATAATGGGTGGAAGTACAAGGATCGTCTGAAAAGTTTTGAGCCTCGAAATGAAGGTGGCGTTTCTCGTCAAAACTAAGTCGAAAATTAATACAAAGTGAAAGAGTTACTATAATATGCGATTTTTTGACAAAATCTTCTCTGGACTACTATTATCTACTATGCGGAGTAAAATCAATATATTTCTGTTATTAGTTACTCAGTTTTGTTATAATTTGGTATAAATAAACTTTATAGATTTGTTCGTTTGTAATAAAAAATTTATTGCGAAACTTTAAATCCTTTGATTTCAACAAATTGTATAGTCGAATGAGGGGGTCAAATGTGCCCCCAAACCCTCAAAAAACCAAAAACCAAAAAACCCTTTGTGCCAATTTTTAACTTGTAGTAATGGGGTGAAAACGAAAATCATGTTTATTGTACAATTTCTCTAGACCTATCAGGTAAAAAAATGTAAAAAAATTCAGAGACATTTCGGGTACCGGGGCACACATTTCGGGAGATTTTCAGATTTTTTGTTTAAAGAACCACGCAGTAAAAAATAAAAAACCGCAAAAAATGCCGAAAAATGTCGATTTCGTATCGAAGGAGGTCCGGAACTGCTTTTATACTTTTACAGTAAACAGGTATTGCTATTACTATTATTCTCAATTTTTTTCAGATTTTTTGTTTAAAGAACCACGTAGTAAAAAATAAAAAACCGCAAAAAATGCCGAAAAATGTCGATTACGTATCGAATGAGGTCCGGAACTGCTTTGATACTTTTACAGTAAACAGGTATTACTGTTACTATTATTCTCAATTTTTTTCAGATTTTTCACTTTGGTGCGTCACAGTGAAAAAAAATAAAAACCTAGAGCAATTGTACAAAAACATGATTTTCGTTTTCACCCCATTACTACCCCCACGGTCGAGATTTCAAGTTAAAAATTGGCACAGAGGGTTCTTTTTGGATGAGCTATCGAATGACCCATCGTTCGTTCAATTCGGTTTGGGGTCACATTTGACCCCCTTATTCGACTATACCCTGTCTCTTATGGGACTGACCGTAGTTGCAATTTTGGTTTCTCCGGACCAATTTTACTTGAAAAGCATATTTGACAATTTGTCGAAAAGAAAAGATAGGTTTTCCGGTTCGTGGCTCGTCTTGGAACGGTTTAATTCGGGAAATTGTCCGTTTGGCGAGGGGTCGATTTCATTTTCCGCGTGCGCCGCAATCTGTTAATATCCCCAAGCCGTAAACCGGGTTACTCGTTCGCGACAGGCTTGATTGCTCGGCTCGTTCTCGTGATTACGTTCCGCGAGGAGGTCCGTGGCGTTCGGCGTACACAGACGTTCACGATGAAATTACACAGGAATTCGACATGTGATCGACACCGGAGTGGTCAAAGCGAGGACTCATCACCCGACAACGGGATTGGACGTGCTCAGGGTGGAAAAAGTCTCAAAGGCACAGGCCTGGCAGAGGACGGGCAGAGCGGGCCGGGAAGCGCCAGGAAAATGTTACAGAACCTACACGAAAGAAGAATTTGATAGGATGAAGGAAATGCCTGTGCCCGAGATACAAAGGTGTGCCCTCGCGGGAGTGGCGCTACAGCTGCTCGCTATCGGGGTGGATATCACTACCTTTGATTTTATGGACAAACCGCCAAAGGAAGCCGTCGATGTCGCGGTGACCTGCTTGGAAAACCTCGGCGCCGTTAAAGGTGAGCGTGATTATGTTTCGTAGAGAAAGTATTGACCTAACCACGATTCGAGACCATTCTCTATTTGTTCGACGATCGAAAGATTGATTCTCTCTGACGAGAAGATCCAGGAATAGTTCGCGGATTTCGATCAATTCTTTTTTTCGTCTTTTTACGAATGTATCAATCGCCTACAGCCACATACAGCCCCATTTAAATCGAACATCTAAATTATTTCCGCTGCTACCGACGGTAAAAAGAAACGATCGAAAGGGGGTATAAATGGTTTCGTGTAAAAAGTCTTCGTATTTAAATACACGCGTACCAAACTGTTGAACTTGGTTTATTAACAGTATAATAACAGTGGACTTTAGCGTAAGCAGCAATATATAAATTTTATTAGACACGAAGATAGAAACAGAACGAACTGAACAGAATGAACAAAAACAGTTAAAGAGGAAACAAAAAAACGCATTATCACAGATCGATGATATCAACGTCACTCCGCGTACTTCATTCATTCGGATATCGTTGTTCTCCAACACAAACCTAGTGTAATTCTAGATTTACCAAAAAGAAGTTGATTAAAATCGATTATGCGACTGCAGTGACCTGATTTTGTAACACGGATTTTTGGGAAAATGGCTGCCTTTTATAATCAGACCACTGGAGCAAATATATCTAGGTTTAATCGGTCAAAAACAAACATTCAAAATAATATGAGGGTGAATCTTATTTTTGAAGTATGTATTTTGGAAAATAACAGCAGAATCGAGATGCAAACTAATTCTTTTGATTTAATTATTGCAAGAAGCCGCCTGAAATTAATTTTGTGTTACTAATTAGGTCTTCAGCAGCTTTCTAGACGAGTTATATGTTCGAATGTAAGGTACCATAAGATCAATCTTCATCGATTTTGAGCTTTCGAGCGTCCTAGAATCTGTATGATTTTCAACAGCTTCTCTTAATCTCATTTTGTTCAGACCATGTTTAAAGAACGTAGCAAAATACTTTCTTCTTAATTTAGTCTTTCGAGTAAAATAATTGCAGTGTGCAGGTTCTCTAAACGGAGATTTAATTAAGGTACAAAGTTACGGATTCTAACTTTGCAACTGTTAGAAAAATTTGTGTTAGATATTAGAGAAGCTTAGAACTAAGGTCTTTTGGAAGCAAGATTTTGCATTAAAACCTTCTTTTTAGAGGTAAAGTAGGAGAGATTTAAGACGAGGATCTATCGTTTCGAATAAAATTGACAGAAACAAATACGCGTCAATATTAATAATAAATAATAAATATCTTCCGTGCGAAGGGTTGAGTTAATTAAATTTAACTTAACACTAGATTGCCCAAGGAAGTCATTTTGACTGCTTTTTAATTTCAATTAGAAAAACAATTATTATAATGACACAATTTCTTAGAATTTTGTGACTTTTTATAGAACATATAAATGCGTTTATTAATAATTGTAGTTACCTCCTCCCTCCTTCATTTCCGGTATACAGGGTGTTCGGCCACCTCTAGCAAAAATTTTAATGAGCGATAGTAGAGGCCAAAATAAGACGAAAATCAAGAATACTAATTTGTTGATGGAAGCTTCGTTAAAAAGATATTAACAATTAAATTCAAAAATTTCAAATCGTTCTGGAAAAATTATTTTCGGTTGCGGGGGTCAACTACAATCATTTTTGGTGAGTACACATACCTCCGAAATCCTATCTACTTTCGAGAAAAAAAATCGAGTAGGTGGTGAAATTTTTCGGCGAAAAAAAATTTTTCAAATCGTTCTAAAAAAATTATTTTCGGTTGCGGGGATCAATTAGAATCATTTTTTATCATTACACATACCTCCGAAATCGTACGCACTTTCGAGAAAAAAATTCCTTACTGAAAATCCAATTAGGTGCCTAAATTTTTCAACGGAGAAAAAAAATTGCAAATCGTTGTGGAAAAATTATTTTCGGTTGCGGGGGTCATTTACAATCAGTTTTTGTCATTAGACATACCCACGAAATCCTGCCCACTTTCGAGAAAAAAAATAGAGAAGGTGTGAAATTATTCGTGAAAATTAAAAAATTGCAAATCGTTGTGGAAAAATTATTTTCAGTTGTAGGGTTCAATTACAGTCATTTTTGGGGAATAGACATACCCCCGAAAGCTTGCGCATTTTCGAGAAAGAAATTCAGTAAGGTCGGCACTTTAAACGTTAATAACTTTTTAACGAAGCTTCCATCAACAAATTGGTATTCTTGATTTTCGTCTTATTTTGGCCTCTACTATCGCTCATTAAAATTTTTGTTAGAGGTGGCCGAACACCCTGTATATATACCGGAAATGAAGGAGGGGGAGGTAACTACAATTATTAATAAACGCATTCATATGTTGTACAAAAAGTCACAAAATTCTAAGAAATTGTGTCATTATATACATAATTGTTTTTCTAATTGAAATTAAAAAGCAGTCAAAATGACTTCCTTGGGCAATCTAGTGTTAAAGACAGAAATTAGTACTGTCGATGGATCTTCTCAACCCAGACCTAACCCAGACCTAACCCAGATCTAATCCAGACCTAACCCAGACCTAACCTAACTCAGACCTAACCTAACTCAGACCTAACCTAGACCTAACCTAACTCAGACCTAACCCAGACCTAACCCAGACCTAACCTAACTCAGACCTAACCTAACCCAGACCTAACCCAGACCTAACCCAGACCTAACCCAGACATAACCCAGACCTAACTTAACCCAGACCTAACCTAATCCAGACCTAACCTAATCCAGACCTAACCTAACCCAGACCTAACCCAGACTTAACCCAGACCTAACCTAACCCAGACCTAACCCAGACCTAACCCAGGTTAAACACGGAGATATAATTCTCGAACACATATGAACACATATGGAATGAGTTAGAAAGAAGGATCCGAAAACATAGTATATACTAAATGTGTTAAAGACAGAAATTAGTACTGTCGATGGATCTTCTCCGACGAGAAAGACTCGGATTAAGATCCAACGAAAAGTGCAAACTCGGTCGCCAAAAGGAATAAGAACAATCGGGGTCAATCGATTTATTTTTCTTCGATTCACGGTGTTGGTATGCTGTGTAGCCGTATCAGACAAAACTTTCTCGTTTGATTTTCACGCGAATAGGTTCTCCGCCGCAGCTGACTACACTTGGCAGAACGATGTCCTTATTCCCATTGGATCCAAGATTCACCAAAGTGATTCTTGCGTCGGTGGATCATCAGTGCCTCGAGGAAGCGCTTACAGTCATTGCGTTATTGTCAGGAGAATCTGTCTTCACCGATCCACCTGCTAAGAGACAACAAGCTTACGTTGCCAGAGCAAGGTATTTATCTCATAAGATACCAATTTCTCAGCGAACAACGAATAAATGCTTACAAAAGCTAGAATTTCACATTTCAATCTTAACACTTTACCGACCGGTAGCGGTTGATTAATCGTCTATCGGTCGGTAAGCGTTGGTCGGTAAAACAGTTGATTAATACGCTATGGGTCGGTAAGTGTTGGCCGGTAAAAAAGTCGATTAATAGGCTATCGGTCGGTAATGTGTTAAAATCTGGTTCAGATACCTAACAGAGGCGTATTTAAACAATTAAACAAGTATAGTAAGTTCTTTATATTTCAGTTTTTAAAGTGTAGGCATTATAGTACCCAGAGCCCATGTTCCAAAGAACCTAAACAAGATATCGTTTGAAAAGTCTTAAATCGCCCTCGATTATTGTTCGTTAAATCTACGTCAACTATCTAATACAACTTTGTGTTTAACACATTACCGACCGATAGCCTATTAATCGACTGTTTTACCGACCAACGCTTACCGGCTGAGAGCCTATCAATCAACTGTTTTACCGGCCAACGCTTACCGACCGATAGTTGATTTATCAACCGTTACCGGTCGGTAAAATGTTAAGAAAAAGAATTGATACGGTAACTGTTGGTTGCTGGTAATTTATATTTTGGTAATGATTTCCATACGATAAAAAAAACTAAAAGAACGATTTGGTGAAAGATCCAAGTGGAGTGTGTTTGAAAGAGTGGAGGATCCGTTTGAAAGGCAGTTTTTAATCGACCGTTTCCATAAACAACTAGTAAATAGCGAGCCTTCGAGAATCCGTGGGCTTTCAGTGGTCTCGGAAGTCACGTCGTTTAAAAATCTGCAGAATCTGGAGCAGCGTAGCCCGGTATTCTTTTTAAACGTGAAATGGTCCGAAGCGTGATCGATACTTGTAGCTTGTTACGTGGCACGTTGCCGGTGTTTCGTTCGTTCCAGATTTGCTTCACCCGAGGGAGACCATGTCACGTTGCTGAACGTTTTTCGCGCATACATGAACACGAAGCAGAGGAAGGTCTGGTGTCACGAGAACTTTCTGCATCATAGAAATCTGGAGTACGCCGCGGAGGTGCGACAGCAGCTCGCCGCATTGGCGAAACGCGCGAATTTAGAGAAGACGAGCTGCGGTACGAATACAGAGCAACTGAGAAAGGCGCTCCTCGAGGGCCTCTGTGACAATCTAGCGGAATTGCAGAGGGATCAAACCTACGTCACCGTGAGTATTCGATTATTAAAGGGTATAGCCGGATAGGATGGTCAAAAGTGCCCTTGAGCCAAACTGATCAGTTAATAGACCATTCAAAGAAAACCATTTGTGTCAAATATCAACCCCCTACCCTTACTGAGATGGTAGTTACAGGGCGTAAACGCAATTTTCAGTTTAAGCAGTATATCTTTTGTTGTATCGTATCAAAGATCTTGAAAAAAATTGGGTGTATTTTGCTCTACGGCGTACGTGTTTGTGAATTTTTTCAGAATTTTTCACCGCAAAATGGATTTTTAAAAAATTCGAAAAGTATGAAAATATTTTTTTTTAATGGAAATTATTAAATGACCACGTTTATATTTTTACATTGTTAAAAATTATAAAAGGGAAAATTTTATCGTTTAAAAATTTTTTAAATTTAGTAAAATAACTGATGTACAATACGTTGCAAAGATAGTTTTAGACTTCTTATGTTTGATCGTATTTGTTTTTGTATGTACGGAGTTATCGATCATTCTATTTATGCAGTTTTGAGATCCATATGTTGTGCGGTGGTTTGCAGATTTTTTTTTGATATTTTGATGGCACATACGAGAGGAACGATTGAAATACGATCTTTGATTACATATGTCTATTATGCAATGTTTGAAAATTTGTATTGTTAAGTGAGTCATCATAATTATTGATATGCTCTAAAGTATGGAAACTTGTCAAAACACAGTAGAGAATTTTTATTGTATCATTGTTGTCAAAGAATTTGGAAGATCTATGAATAAGTCTCAGAGAGCTGAGACTATGTGAATTAATTTTTTCATAATGTGCTTTGAAAGATATTTTAGAAGAGAAAGTAATACCACAGACGATGTATATGAATAGATCTTATATTTTATGGACTTTCGTGGCCTAATCTGGCTGTCATATTGACCTGAAAAATCGACAGGGAGCCTAAATTTTTGGATAAAATTAAAAAATTTCAAATCATTCTGAAAAAATTATTTTTAATTTTGGGGGTCAATTGCAATAATTTTTGGTGAATAGACATACTCCCGAAATCCTACCCATTTTCTAGAAAAAAATTCGAAAAGATGTGAAATTTTTCGACAAAATTGAAACATTTCAAATTGTTCTAAAAAAATTATTTTTGGTTGCAAGGATCAATTATCATCATTTTTGGTCAATAGACATACACTCGAAATCCTATCCACTTTTGAGAAAAAAATTCAGTAGTGGACACGTTTTTCGGCGAAATTAAAAAATTTCAAAACGTTCTGGAAAAATTATTTTTAGTTGCAGGGGTCAATTGTAATAATTTTTTGTGAATAGACATATTCCCGAAATCCTACCCATATTCTAGAAAAAAATTCGAGAATATGTGATACTTTTCGACAAAATTGAAACATTTCAAATTGTTCTAAAAAAATTATTTTTGGTTGCAAGGATCAATTGCAATCATTTTTGGTCAATAGACATACCCTCGAAATCCTACTGACTTTCTAGAAAAAAATTCGAGAAGGTGTGAAATTTTTCGACAAAATTGAAACATTTCAAATTGTTCTAAAAAAATTATTTTTGGTAGCAGGGATCAATTACAATCATTTTTGGCCAATATACATACCCTCGAAATCCTATTCACTTTCGAGGAAAAAATTCCTTACCGAAAATAAAAATTTGAGGTTTGAAATAGTTCCCCAAAAGTTCATGTGAATCTTTGAAACATCATAACTCCGGAACGGATTGGACAATTTTAATGTTTCAAAAAGCCAACTACGCGTATTTTAGTGGAGAATATGTACAAATTCCAAGACTATTCGAAAAGTTGTTCGATAACCCCGTAAAATGAGAAAAACCCCATAAAAATGGTCCAATTTTCAAACAGCCATAACTCCTACAATAGTGAATATATTTCATTGAAATTTTGAGGGAAACTAGAGTTCATGGATACCTACAAAAAAGTATTAAACAACTTCCCTGTGGAGCGCCAACCAAATTTATTAAAAATGGAAAACGAATTTCTAAAAAAGATCGACAATGCTTAAATTTTTCGATGAAAAAAAAATTTCAAATCTTTCTGGAAAAAATATTTTCGGTTATAGGGGCCCATTACAATAATTTTTGGTGAATACACATATCACCGAAATCCTATCCACTTTTGAGAAAAAAATTCAGTAGTGGACAAGTTTTTCGACGAAATTAAAAAATTTCAAATCCTTCTAGAAAAATTATTTTCAGTTGCAAGGGTCAATTACAATCATTTTTGGTCAATAGACATACCCCCGAAATCCTATGCACTTTTGAGAAAAAAAATATAATGTGTGGCCAGAAGAAATATTTCCCCGAAATTTCGATATAAAAAATCATAACTCACGTACGGGTTGAAGAATTTTAGCATTTTAAAATGCAAACGCGTATTTTGAAATGATATTAATCGATTGATACTCAATTCTGGACCGTACAGTTTTTATTCCGTTAAAAAACAGTAACATTTTTGAAATTTTATTTTCTGTTTCATTTCCTTTGCACAAAAATGCGCGCAGCTCTAGAAAAATAGGTCGAAAAAATACATTGGGTGTAAGATCTATTCGTGTACCCCGTCTCTGGTAATATCGAGGTCTTTAACATGATTAATTGTAAGTATGGTGACTAAAATACCATTTAGACTATAATCACAAACTAGGTTATTTTTCTTATTACAAATTTTAACGATAAAACACTTATCTAGATTGAAAGACAATTTATTTAAGGAGCACCATTCTTGTAGCCAAAATTAGGTGCTTTACGAATTCAACGACCTGCTATAGCATGACCTTCGGATGACCTTGAACTGAAAAAAGGTGGGCAAAAGTTAAGGAAACACCCTGTATACGAAACTGAGCACTCATTAATAATGATTAATTTAAAATAAAAATGACAAAAATCTGGAAAACGATGAGCATTAACTAGTCACATAATTAATTTTGAGGAACAAAGATCGCCAGGAATTACCCTCTTAACACATTACCGACCGATAGCCTATTAATCGACTGTTTTACCGACCAACGCTTACCGACCGATAGCGTATTAATCAACTTCTTTACCGACCAACGCTTACCGACCGATAGCCGATTAATCAACCGCTACCGGTCGGTAAAGTGTTAAGATCGTCAGCATATAATACAAATTTAGTGTGTTGGAATACTTTAGAGATGTCATCAATATACATATGTATAATATAAATAAGAAAGGTCCCAAAATGAGAACATTATGAAACATCAGAGATAATTTTTATTTCTCTTGAATATAAATATTTGAATTCGTTTCGATGAATAGAATCAAAAGCTTTTCAAAAGTCAGTGCACACGGTATCGACTATTATCAATACAATATTCATTCATAAGCCGGGACGTTCATATTTGAATGATTTTAAAATTGAAATTAGTGTTGTATAAACCTCCAGTTAATTTCATTTCACATCGTGAAAGCACATTTCATTCATCAAGATTTGTTTTATAATTCCGGAATAATTTTGCAAATGGGTATCAAAAATCATGTTATTATATTTTGCAAGAGAAATCAATGAATCGCAAACCTATAAAAAATGAAAAATATACAGAGAGAATCAAAGAACGCATCTATCAAAAGTGGTTCTTCCGTTTCAAAATAAAAATTTTCATTTTCTGCAAAGCTCCTTTAATTAAACAACTCTCGATTAATTTTTTGCGCGGAATTTATTTGTATTTATCAATCGGTGAAGAAACGAGATTACAGAAAGTTTCACTGTAGTTCCTCGCTGTAGAATTACTTTTTACCCTCACTACGTAACGTCGAGTTCACGGTGGCTTAAAGCATGCAATTTTTTGTCGGTTTTCTTTAATTAAAAGAACACGATTCCGAGAGGGTCAATCGTCCAACGTTCAGGAGCGTACGTTCGTTACGTTGCGAGAAAGGAGGGTGCGAATAGTATACACTGCATAGAATACGTGACGTTTTTGGAGACTGTTAGCGTTATTTTGTAGTCATGCCGGGAATTCGAAGCTTAAACAAATTTTGCCGGATATAGGACGCAGTTTAAGTAAGTTTTCTCTCAGCGAGTGAGTAACGAGAATTTAGGAGTAATTGGATTGTACGTCTGTGTAGGTGAGCTCGAAGCAGCCGGTAGCTATACATCCTTCCTCGACGTTACACGGTACCAAGCCACCGCTAATATTGTTCACGGAGGTCGTAGCCACTGGAAGATGTTATCTTCGTGGTTTGTCCGTCATCGAGTCCTCGTGGTTGACTGAAAAAGGCCTGAATATTGGGAAACACGACTAAGGACCCTTCTTTTCCATGGGACGATCCCCTGACAAAAGTTACTGCAAAAATGGTAACAATTTCTAACCTTATTGTTCGCTTTTTACAAGATCGTTGTAATTGCGTGAATCCATGCAGCGTGTTTTTATAATCTGTACAGTTCTTGAATAAATACTTTTATTATCTCGTTTGGGGGTCACATCTGCCCTCCAATCACGACTGCTCTTTCCTTTCTACCAATCTTTCCCTTTATTACATTTTTTAACAATTGTAGTCATTCAGCTTCGACAGAGATTCTGGTTATTTAGGCACGAAAAATACATGTTACTTTGTGATTTTTTTTGGGGGGGCTATTAAAGAGCGATTAATTTCAGGTTTTGTAGATACATTTATTATATATTTAGCTATATTTACGAATTTTTGCAACGCATAATATCTATTGATTACGCTGTTTTTGTTGATATAATTAAGGGGCCATTCTATCTTGTAGGCTCGAAAAATATATGTTACTTTGTGATTTTTTTTGTGGGGGCTATTAAAGAGCGATTAATTCCAGATTTTGTAGATACATTTATTATATATTTAGCTATATTTACGAATTTTTGCAACGCATAATATCTATCGATTACGCTGTTTTTGTTGATATAATTAAGGGGCCATTCTACCTTGTAGGCTCGAAAAATACATGTTACTTTGTGATTTTTTTGGGGGGGGCTATTAAAGAGCGATTAATTTCAGGTTTTGTAGATACATTTATTATATATTTAGCTATATTTACGAATTTTTGCAACGCATAATATCTATTGATTACGCTGTTTTTGTTGATATAATTAAGGGGCCATTCTATCTTGTAGGCTCGAAAAATATATGTTACTTTGTGATTTTTTTTGTGGGGGCTATTAAAGAGCGATTAATTTCAGGTTTTGTAGATACATTTATTATATATTTAGCTATATTTACGAATTTTTGCAACGCATAATATCTATTGATTACGCTGTTTTTGTTGATATAATTAAGGGGCCATTCTATCTTGTAGGCTCGAAAAATATATGTTACTTTGTGATTTTTTTTGTGGGGGCTATTAAAGAGCGATTAATTCCAGATTTTGTAGATACATTTATTATATATTTAGCTATATTTACGAATTTTTGCAACGCATAATATCTATCGATTACGCTGTTTTTGTTGATATAATTAAGGGGCCATTCTACCTTGTAGGCTCGAAAAATACATGTTACTTTGTGATTTTTTTGGGGGGGGCTATTAAAGAGCGATTAATTTCAGGTTTTGTAGATACATTTATTATATATTTAGCTATATTTACGAATTTTTGCAACGCATAATATCTATTGATTACGCTGTTTTTGTTGATATAATTAAGGGGCCATTCTACCTTGTAGGCTCGAAAAATACATGTTACTTTGTGATTTTTTTTGGGGGGGCTATTGAAGAGCGATTAATTTCAGGTTTTGTAGATACATTTATTATATATTTAGCTATATTTACGAATTTTTGCAACGCATAATATCTATCGATTACGCTGTTTTTGTTGATATAATTAAGGGGCCATTCTACCTTGTAGGCTCGAAAAATACATGTTATTTTGTGATTTTTTTTTGTGGGCTATTAAAGAGCGATTAATTCCAGGTTTTGTAGATACATTTATTACATATTTAGCTATATTCACGAATTTTTGCAACGCATAATATCTATCGATTACGCTGTTTTTGTTGATATAATTAAGGGGCCATTCTACCTTGTAGGCTCGAAAAATACATGTTACTTTGTGATTTTTTTTGGGGGGGCTATTAAAGAGCGATTAATTTCAGGTTTTGTAGATACATTTATTATATATTTAGCTATATTTACGAATTTTTGCAACGCATAATATCTATCGATTACGCTGTTTTTTGTTGATCAATGAACAACAGTTTTTACGAACGATGCTCGACTGTTTAGGTGATATTTTGAGAACATGTTATCCGAAATCCAAAAACCAAAGATATTCTTAATATAGATGAATGTGGTTACAGCATGAATTAGGATTTTTTCAAAAAAACAAAAAATTGGCAAAATGGTAGCTATTTTACGAAAAAATATTGAATATTTTCGTATATTCGGTTGCTTTTTTGTTAATAAAAGAAAAAGTATTGCATATAACGCAATTATCCTAGTTCATGCTATAGGGAGACCAGTTCTAAAGGTACTGTATAAATTTCATGTTGATATTTTGAATAGTTTTTTCGTTATCACATATGCAATGTTGACAAATAGTTTCGAGAAAAACAGCTTGAAAGTATCACACGTCCAGTTGTTATAACTTCGCTAGTTTTTCAAATTTCAATTTAATATTTCGTAGATATATTTTCGAGACTACATACTAAAAGACAATGCAAAAAAAAATTCGATTTTTTTAATCTCACAAAGTAGAAAGGCAACTTAAAGTTCCACGTCCAGTGGTTTTATCTGCGCGCTATACATTTCAGCAGACTATAGCTTCGTTACTTTTCCGAATTTCAATTTAATATTTGGTAGACATATTTTCGATACTACATACTAAAAGACAATGCAAAATAAAATTCAATTTTTTTAATCCCACAAAGTACAAAGGCAACTTAAAGTTCCACGTCCAGTGGTTTTACCTGCGCGCTATACATTTTAGCAGACTATAGCTTCGTTACTTTTCCAAATTTCAATTTAATATTTGGTAGACATATTTTCGAGACTACATACTAAAAGACAACACACAAAAAAAAATAATTCGATTTTTTTTAATCGCACAAGATGGAAATGCAACTTAAAGTTTCACGTCCAGTGGTTTTACCTGCGCGCTATACATTTCAGCAGACTATAGCTTCGTTACTTTTCCAAATTTCAATTTAATATTTGGTAGATATATTTTCGAGACTACATACTAAAAGACAATGCAAAAGAAAATTCGATTTTTTTAATCTCACAAAGTAGAAAGGCCCCTTAACCCCTTAACGCTCATATTTTTCGGGTTAACCAACAATGATCAGTTTTCTTTATTGGATTTGTTTCTAAAAATACGGTTTTTGTTAATTACAATGTTGTATCTAACGTATAATTTGAAGGAAAACAAATATTATCATCCCTTAAACCGTTGGATTAAACAAATATTGTTTTTCAAAGCAGTCAGACTCGGGCATGAACGTTAAAGGATTAAGGCACACTCTCAAACAAAAAATTAATTTCTTCGGTTGCATAACATGAAAATACAGACAAAACTGACATCACACTCAAACTTTATTGTCTTTAATATTTCTACAGCTAATTAATTATTTCTTTGTAAGTATATCATTATGGTAGTTACAAAGGAAATTAATAGAAGTTACAAAGTATAATACAATCTGCTGAAAAATGTCGACGACTACGGAACGAAGAAGAGCCAGAAGCTATCACTTAATTAAAAAAGAAGAAAAAATCCTCGAGATAATGAAAGTGTAATTATTCGTACACTTATAACTACTATACAGGGTGTTCGGCCACCTCTAGCAAAAATTTTAATGAGCGATAGTAGAGGCCAAAATAAGACGAAAATCAAGAATACCAATTTGTTGATGGAAGCTTCGTTAAAAAGTTATTAACAATTAAATTCAAAAATTTCAAATCGTTCTGGAAAAATTATTTTCGGTTGCGGGGGTCAACTGCAATCATTTTTGGTGAGTACACATACCTCCGAAATCCTATCTACTTTCGAGAAAAAAAATCGAGTAGGTGCTGAAATTTTTCGGCGAAAAAAAATTTTTCAAATCGTTCTAAAAAAATTATTTTCGGTTGCGGGGATCAATTACAATCATTTTTTATCATTACACATACCTACGAAATCGTACGCACTTTCGAGAAAAAAATTCCTTACTGAAAATCCAATTGGGTGCCTAAATTTTTCAACGGAGAAAAAAAATTGCAAATCGTTGTGGAAAAATTATTTTCGGTTGCGGGGGTCAATTACAATCAGTTTTTGTCATTAGACATACCCACGAAATCCTGCCCACTTTCGAGAAAAAAAATAGAGAAGGTGTGAAATTATTCGAGAAAATTAAAAAATTGCAAATCGTTGTGGGAAAATTATTTTCGGTTGTAGGGTTCAATTACAGTCATTTTTGGTGAATAGACATACACCCGAAATCTTGCGCATTTTCGAGAAAAAAATTCAGTAAGGGCGGCACTTTAAACGTTAATAACTTTTTAACGAAGCTTCCATCAACAAATTGGTATTCTTGATTTTCGTCTTATTTTGGCCTCTACTATCGCTCATTAAAATTTTTGCTAGAGGTGGCCGAACACCCTGTATAACTACTGTATATTCATTCCTGTTGTCCTGAACGAGCTAGAACGTACACAGACATTTGGCCACGTTCCGAAGTCGTTAGCAGGACGCGTCGATTAATCATAGGTGCAACAACGCGGATGTCTTTATCGTTGTTTGTATGCACATGTAACGAACAGGAGACAAGGATACACGATTCAGGAAACATACAAATTGGCCTCTTTCCGAATAGATTAATTACGAAGACAAATAATACGTCGTCACGTTACAGGAATGCGGCAAGTTTTTCAAATTGTAATCGCGTTGGCTGTCGTTCGCGATCCAGATGATTGTGGCTGACCTATGCCGACCAGGAAAACGGTTAATTAACACTATGCAAACGGTTTGTTTGACGAGAACGAGCAGATAGGGCACGATCGTCGTTCGGTTCAGCGCGTGTCACCACAACAGGTGGCTACCTCGAGAGAATGGCGTCGCGATTTCATGTAAATAGTCCTACTATTTTCGGGCATAGTGCTACGCAATTAAACGTTGGTTGTATGATTTCCGGTTACGCAGCATGAACGGTCGAAATTCTGAATTTTCAGCTGTACAAGTCAATTAGGACGCCGCGGAAATACACTGGACGGTGCAACCTATTCCCCGAAACATGAATATAATTTCAGAACCGCGTTCGATGTACAAAAAATGATTGTGAAAGGATTCTAGACATTACAACATCTTTATAAGTGCCATTTTGACCCAGTTGACGCTCGTAGTTATTGTTCAAATAACTCTCAGGGGATAAGAAATGCACGTTCCTCAGCAATTTCACGAAACTGTTGAAATCTCAAAGTCT